TTTGTATCTTTGTATTTTTTCCTTTCTTGAAGTTCTTTGTGACTTTTGGAAGACAAGTGTGTTTGTCTTCCACTTGTAAATTTTCTACTGATGAATTAATGAAAGTGTTATTGATCAAAAAAAAAAATTCCTAGCAACCTCTAGCGGAATCATACCCCATACTACTTCTAAAATGGGTCTTCCTAAGTTATCTGTTGCTTATCAAAAAAAGGGGTCTTCCTAAGATTTGAGAGACTATATAGGGCCTTGAAATGTGAATGTAATTCCCTCTAATTACCCCCATATCTTAAGTTTGAGCTACATTTACTACAAACCTTGTGATCAAATTCTTCCTTCTCCCATTTGAGTAAAAAACTTAGTGCTCCACTCTCCTTTCAATTATCTTGACTTTTGCGTCCAACTCGGTGCCCATTTATCTCACCATCACCTTGGAATCTCCTCCTACCAGTATGTTTCTGTATTGAGAGAAACCATAATCTCAGCCCTTGCAGTAATGCTAATAGTTCTGCTCTAGTATCTTTTCTTCCTCATTACCGAGGTTCACCAAATGCCGAATCACAAGTGTCAACATTTATTTGTTTGCTTGTGTGTTTTGTTTAATCTTGGTGCTTCTAAATTATCAAGGTTCCCAAAATGAGGAAAACTCCAAAAAACATCATGATCACCCACTCAATTTTCCATAAAGAAGTACAGGGTCTTTGAATGCTATGAGTAAATTATATGTTTTAAGCATTCCAAATTGTCATTAAATCAAGAAAATAGGATCCATATATGCATATACATGTATACCACTCTTAGTATATACATTATGCATATGTATTTGTTGTATGGATAGAGATGCAACTTGGGTTGGCCCGAGTTAACATTTGCACTGCTTTGGGCTAGGGATTCAGGCCAGGCCAAATCAAATTTTAACAAGAATTCAACCCAAGCCCACCCAAGTTGCACCCCTATGTATGGATAGGGATATGAATAAGCAGATATGGAAACCCATACCTCATGTCTACTCACAAGCTCAACGAGAACTTCAATGGCCAAGTCAAAAGATGATGAAGCCTACACCAAGAAATAGAATGAGATACAAGACGGAAACTAAGGTAAAGAAACTATTAGTATAATGTAAAAAAGGTATACCTGCAAAGAATTGAAGACAAAACTAAGAAGTGGATGTGCTGGTACTGAAGAGGGTGGAATTTCTGAGAAGCACCCAGCACGAATCTGAGGTTCAGTTAAAACCATAACTGTAGCAACTTAGAAGAGTAACTAAAATCTTGATATTTAAAGACACTACTATTTCAAATTTTGTTTTTTCATATGGAAAAGGTATAGTCTGGATAAATTAAATGTAAAAAATGAACCAGGCATCTGGGAATACTAAAATAAACATAATAGAGGACAAAAACTGTACAACAATACACTGATGTAGTCCAAATTAAAAGGGGCACCACTGTGCATTCTGAAATCATCTTACCCAACTCAGCAAGCATCGCAAAATTTTCCGGTTCCTCTCATTAAGATGAATGCCATCATCAACCCTTTGCTCTGATTGATGAAGTAAGAAATCAAGCACCATGGGAGTATGCGAGAGAAGCTGATCAAGCCATGACAAAATGGTATCAATATACAATAAAGGCAGAAAGGAGGAGTAGGGCAAGCATTTTATAGAAAAGAAAAGAAAGAGAAAAGAAGACACTATCTTGAAATTGAATCAGAAAATGACACTTTTAGATGAAGCTCCTGAACCTCTTCTCCATACTGGTATCTACGAGATGAACTAATGTTAAAATCACTGTTTTGGTCCTCGACAACTTCTTCAGGCAGAACTGTAAGCATCTCTAAAACAGCAATATTCCCATTGTCCTGATTTTGCAGGCTCTGGAGACTGCAAAAAAGTTGCTCAATAGGCTTCTTATGTTCTACCGCACGAAGGGCAAGAGCCGACAGTGCAAGACAGATTTGTGTTAAGAGCTGCTATGCATAGAAAAAAAAATGGTTAAAAAAAAAGAAATAAAACACACAAAATCAGATACTACTTGGGCATTATCAACTCATTGAACCATCACAAGAAGTACAACCAAAACCTAGTACTCATTCCTGTTCATTAGTTACATATTATCAAAATTAGAATGTGTTGCAAGTTACACAACACCTGTGGAGGTCCTGTACTAAATCTTTTTGCTGCCAGAAGAAGAGCATTCAACAAGGCATCTTTTGCTCCCAACTGCAAATAATATCCTTCATTTTGGATCTGTGGCAATGAGAACATTAATTCAAAGTAAGCATTAATACACCACCAATGAAATGTTTTGATTTTTTGGTAACAAATGGGATGTTTTGATTGGTAACTGAAAAGCTTCAAATGAATCAATGAGAGAAGTAAAAGAAACACTTTAGAAACAAGAAGATTGCATGTTCACATTAAGATCACTCTGAGCCAGTGTTTTAAACCTGGCCTGAAGGTTGAACCATCTATCCTCTGGGTCAATGGGCCAGCAGTTCAGCCATCTAGGTCAACCCCTGATGTCATCATTATAAAAATAAAAAATTCAAAATAATTAAAAATAATATAAAACAAGTGACCCATTGAACAGGTCAGCTTGGTGAACTGTTCACTGTCCAGGTCCATGGGTCATTGACTCAACCAACGGCTTCTGTAATATGATGGTCTAGAGGTTGATTCAAACCAGGATTGTGACTGGGTCATTCCAACAGTCAAGGTTAATGACATGTTGAAAACACTCTCAGAACAAGAAGTAAAACCATAAGATATGATAACAGAAAAAACATGGCAGTTACTCAATGTCAATGTAACTCACACTACCAGCTCCAGCTTGAACCAGGCTATCAGCTAATGAATTAGCCAATTTGGGACGAGCCAAATGATATGTCCACTGTAGCTGATAAAGACCTAACCACTAGAAATGTGATGTCGCAGTAACCATGGGCCATCCCCATCATCCCTTAATCACAATTCTGAATTTCCAAAGTTCCAACAACACACTTATAACACAGTAAAATTATATAATATTCTACAACTAAAAATTTGTTTTTGATCATTTATTCTACTACTAAAAATTAAAAGATAGAAAAGAAAGGATTTGGCAAAATGGACCACTAATAAGGAGATTGACAGAATCAAACTTTACAAGGTCCTTCGGACTACATGAATGGTTCCAAGGATGAGAAGGCCATATACAAGAACTTCATTCAGCAAAGTTTAATAAAAACTCAACCAGCACAAAAAGGAGAGATCAACAGTGTTATAAACCCACCTCAAAACTAGTGGGTCTAGCATGCTGACACATGGACAACATGCAAACGCATATCACTTGAAATAGAACTTCTTGTTACACACACTGATGATGCACCAAGCTGAATTCAATGAAAAGATTTTTGGCTTTTGAAACTCTTGGACAATGCCATAAGAAAAGGGAAAATTTCTTGTAGCAACAGAGAATAAATTTTATTCAAGCATAAAAGAGAACAAGATCCCCGCCATCCAAAGGGTGGAAAGCAAGAAACAATGACAATGAGCAAAAGGCTGGCAAATCTAAAAGTAAACATCACAAAGAAGACTTTACAAATTAACCACGAGTTTACTTTTATTTTCTAGAAGCTGGCATGCAGCAATATGCCTAAGGAGACTTAATGACCTGGATACCCAAGCAATGTATTATGGATAACTTGAAAATTAAAACCCACTAGCCTTCCTTTAGGTTATGTTTGGATTAAGGTGTAAATCAAAATGGACAATGAATTTTTTGATCAAAAAAATGGACAAGGAATTGAGCAAACCAAGTCCATAGGTTTCCAAATTACATCACTTTTGCATGTTCTGAATTACAACATATGGATCTAATTCCAATTTCCATAATGGAGCAAATTAGAAGCCTCAAAAAATAAGCATAAATTTTGAGTCTTTATGGATTTTGAAATTTATAATGGAAGGTGCCATTTAACCTCACAGAATTCAGTTTGCAACAAATTTAGTTTAGTTTCCACTCCAGAAATCCACATTGATCCCAGCACAGAGAAAAATGTAAAATTAATTCATCCTGAATCCAGAAAGAGCTAGATTTATTGTTGAAATCCCTCACACTTCTGTCTCCAAGTTACTTTGGCATAGTGACAATCCGTTCTCCATGCAATTTTTCTTTGTTTTTTCAGGCCCCATGCCCACGAAATTTTTAAAAGCCACATCAAGCTTGTTGGCACACCCCAATCTACCTCAAATATGATAAAAATTGCAGCATCTAGCTGCTCCAGAAAGCAGAAAAATAAAAAAGGTGTTGATTCACTAACTTTCCTTCAATTAGACACATCAGAAAAGACTAGAAACAATTCACTGTTTGTTGAGTTATCTATAAGGCAATATTGAGAACAGAATTCCTAATGGTTATTCAGTGCAGAACTTTGGAAGGCAATGAAATGGAATTTGCACCATAGCAAGGGCAAAGACAGAAAGAACAAAAAATCACTGTTCGACTTGGGGCTACACAACAAGGCTAGAAGCACGAATACCAATCACAGGGGAAGAAGAGGTGGATATTAATCAGAATTTTTCTCATGATATCGAATATAAATGTTATCAAGCTATGCTCGGAGAGACATTAAATTGTGAATAGTTACCATGTATGAGAAATGGAAGACAAACATTTAAATGATACAGGAGACAAAGATGTAGCACATTAACTCCCCCACCATCCAGTGTTTGGAGTCAAAAACCTTTTGATTGGTCCCATAAACCCACTCTCAGGCATGCCAGTGGTGCTGGTTGTTTGGGACAGTAGCAAAGTAACTAAGGTCATCCACAGGACTGGAGAGTATTCTGTTTTGATTGAAGTGAAACTTGAAGATGGTTTCCTCTGTCTACGGCACTAATGATGAGAATAATCATGCCCTCTTGTGGGAGGAGTTGGACAATGTAAGGAGAAGGTGGACACTTGACACTTCCATGGTGCACTGGAAGCAATTTCACCCACAAGAATAAGGGAGGTACATGAATTACTCAGGCATGAAAGTTTTGCAGCTTTTGTCAATAAGATAAACTGGTGAAGACCCAATTATGGAAAAGCTCAACCACTTCTTGATCTCCTCTAGTTCTGTAGGATCACTTCACAGGTCCCAGCTACTCAACAAGAAGTGCTCCCCATACCACACCCCTCTAAAGCTGGTAGGTAGCACTCTACTCAGATTTCAAAAATCCAAGCCTTTTTCATTTCAAAAACTACTCATTCAAGTAGGAGGGTTTTGACGATAAAATCCAAGCAAGCTGGAGTTCCACGGAGGTGTCAGGATTACATGGGCCAGCAAGCTAGAGAATTAACTCAAAACAAATTCAAATATTCACAAAAGAGAAGAATATGTGAGGAAGTAAAGTTTATTTCGATTAGGCCTGCTTTCTTACTTTGTTTTGGGGCTTCTTTTTTTAGTATATGTTGCATGTTAAACTTGGTTTGGAATAGGGTGGCATTGTTGGGATGGGTGGGGAAGTGGCTAGCCTGGGTGATTGGTTTTGCAGTTGGTCTATTGTGGGTGTATGGGTTTAGGTGTAGTTTCTTTTGCAGGGTTTCCTTTTTGGTGCCCTCTAGTCACTTTCCTTGTAATATTTACTCAGTTTTTTAACAAAATTTTTATTTTATTACCAAAAAATATGTAATGATAGGGTGAGTTGAGCAAATGTGAAAGTGGTGTTATCTAAGCTAGCAATACAAGGAAGAAATCAAACAGAGACAACAGGCTACACTTAAATGGCTGAAAGAAGGTGACGGAAAGACCTCTTTTCCATCAAATGGCCAAAGTCAGAAGCAAACACGATACAATCAGAGGGATTGCTAATAACGGACACCTTTTTGAAGACACAGATGAGATCAAAGAAGATGTTACCAGCTTCTATAAGAATCCTTATAATGAAATATGCAAAAGAAGGCCTATGTTAGATGGTCTGGACTTCCGGAGACTTTTAGAAGCTCCATTAAAAGACCTCAAGATACCCTTTGAGAAGGAAATTTGGGATGCAATCTAATACAAGAAATGTTGGGACATTGTGGAGAATGACATAATGAGCTTATATTCAGGTCCTTTGCTTTCTGAATTCCTTCCATGGCAGCTAGTATTTCAGCTCTTAGAGCATCACCCACCCCTATTGGACCAGAAAATGGAGCAATAATTTTTCCTTCCTCATTTCTGAAAACTCCTCCAATACCAGAAGGTCCCAGGTTGCCTTCACTGCTACTATCAAAGTTCTTTTTTTTTATCAATAACTGGAATTCATTAGATTAAAAGAATTTAGTTACAGTGCTCCAAAGAGAGATAAACAGGCTTAACTCTCTCCGGGAAGATAACAAAAAGGAAAAATTTACAGAACAGCCCAAAACATTTTATCCCTTCCCACCCCCTGCTTTGCCAAAGCATCAGCAAATGCATTTGCTGTTCTCTTGACCCACTGGAACTTGATTTCCAGTCCTCTAGTTAGCCACTTAATCTCCCTCCTCTCATTAACATATTTCCAAAGTCCACTACCTTCTTGTAACAAACTTAAGACCAGCTTTGAGTCCCCTTCAACGACTAACTTTTGTATATTCAGTTCCTTAGACTTCCTTATACCCTCCAGTACTGCATAGACCTCAGCTTTGAGAGAGTCTCCAAACCCAATGGAACCTGAATACAAAGCGAGCACCTTCCCACCCTCATCTCTGAAAACCCCTCCTAGACCTGATGGACCTGGATTTCCTTCACTACTTCCATCAAAGTTTAGCTTTATAAGTCCACTTCCTGGTGGTGACCACACAGGACAAACTAAAGAGCGAGCAGGAGCAGAATTTGCCACCTCCAACCAGCTATTAAGCAACATATCCGTAGAAATATCAACAAACAGGTCCAATGATTTCAGCCAATGTACCACCCTCACTGTTACTACTTCAGTAAGGCATTCTTTACTTCTTTCAATTTCAGAGAAAATTCTGGTGTTCATTTCCTTCCAAAGAATCCAACAAACAGCAGCCCTCACACATCTCCACATTGCCCCTTTTGTTTGGCCAACCAAAGAATGAGGGGCTAAACAAACTTTGAATGTTTGGCGGTGTGGTCCACCTGCAACCAAAAGAGGAAAGAAACCATTCCCAAAGATCAGTAGCAAAGGGGCAAGAAACTAATAAGTGGTAGGAGCTTTCACCATTAGCCTTGCAAAGAATTCCCAACAAAAGGCTCCAATCCTTGGAGGGATCAGCTCACCCCAAACATCTCTAA